TGATGAAAATAATGATGACGATATATAGCTAGCATAAACTTTTAGGTCAGATGAAGTAAATTGTACAACAATCAACAAACTTGAACACCAAGGAAGGGAAGTAACCAAGAAAGTGGTGAAAACAATGTGTTATTTCTTCGTACGGCATCCTTTCTAAGAAGTGAATACTAGAAGGAACGTAGCAAAATACAGCTTACTATTTAAACTGAATGTACGCTATTCCTGAGATAACATTGTGTGTAGAAAGATTTTGTTTAATCGTTGACACAGCATTGCAAGATGTTGGATTGAGAATGGATACAACAATTATAGGCTCTAAGATGCCTATACAAGCTTTTATCTCAAGACAAGTGATGCTGTTATCTTGACCTTTGACCTTGAAAATAAATAAGATTTAAACTTCCTCTCTTCATGATTCAATATCGGAGGATGAAACATCTATAGTGAAATAATCACGCTAGTTTTCATCTAGATCAAACATAACACGGTATAAGAATTGTAGAATAATTGGGATTCTTAAACCGGGGACCAATAGCTATATTCATGTATGTACAAGTCTCAGTCTAAACACAGAATAATTGGGACTCTTAAACCGGGGACCAATAGCTATATTCATGTATGTACAAGTCTCAGTCTAAACACAGAATAATTGGGACTCTTAAACCGGGGACCAATAGCTATATTCATGTATGTACAAGTCTCAGTCTAAACACAGAATAATTGGGACTCTTAAACCGGGGACCAATAGCTATATTCATGTATGTACAAGTCTCAGTCTAAACACAGAATAATTGGGACTCTTAAACCTGGGACCAATAGCTATATTCATGAATAAACATGTCTCAGTCTAAAAACATATACAGCACTACTACTAGCCGTTCCGAAAAAACGTGTTGAGAAGATAAATCATCTGCAAACCTGCCTATATATGTGTCTAACTTTTTTTTATATAGAATCAACAATTCTGTTTCCTTTCATTTTTCTTTTGAACTTGATACTTTGCTTTTATACTGGTTTTGTTGACTTGTCCGTTTGTTCAGTTTGTGTGGCTTTCTATACATTACACTACACAGATTGGCATCATAACATAAGAACTTCAACATTGTTTACCTTTAACAATATGGGTAACAGGAAAAATGCACAGTTAGAAAATGAGACGTTTAACGTTCACCGTAATATTTTCCTTTCGACGAAAGAAAACAATATTGAACGATTCTGTTACGAGATGCACATGTCAATAATTTTTATATTATTTTCAATCTAAACATTTTCAGCATAGCCCTTGCCATATAATTTACACGTTAAGTTCCTTGCGATTGCGTTAATTTGGCTCGACAAATAATTCAATTTATTGCCAGATTAAAAAATGTCGGCAGATGTATATTCACACGTAAACTAGAAAAACAAGTTTTCAATTGTTCAATTAGAGATCAGAGATCATGGCACCTCTGTTTTTTGTTTGGTTTTTGTTGATCAGTCTTTAGTTTTCTATGTTGTGATTGTATACCGTTATTTGTCTTTTGGTCGTTTTTCGTTTTTTGCCGGTTGTCAAATTGTCATCGACATACGAGTTTGAATGTCCTTTTGTTTTTTCCCTCTTTTTCAAATACAGATATATTGTGGAAACTTTTTTGATGCTTTGTTTTAATTATAAACGACGCTACTTTTTAAACTGCAAGAACACCAAACAATGTTTTAAATTTTGTTAAATATTTTAAGTGAAACACAAGATTCAAGATTCAATATTTCATTAAAGTCTCACCACTTGTAATACATATAATACAATCATCATAATATATACAATGTCTAAAACAGTAATTTCCCTGTCCGTACACATGTCTATAGTTCGTTTATGGTCCAATAAAATTTCGACTTATTCATCCTTCTATACATAGAAGGTTCAATAAATGGTTTTCTAACTGTTATTCTTAAAAGGATAAAATTAAAAATACTGAAAACTATTGAATGAAAAAAATTGTTACTATAGTAGTTTGAAAATATCGAAGAGGCATACAGACTCTGTAAACAAATTAGTGGCAAATAAAACAATGACAAAAAAAAAAATACTGTCCCAAGTCAGGAGCCTTTGATTCAGTGGCTGTCGTTTGTTGCTGTATATCAAATTGTTTTTCGTTTATTGTTTTGTAATTAAATAAGGCCGTTTGTTTTCTCTTTTGAATTGTTTAACATTTGTCATTTCGGGGCCTTTTATAGCTTGTTATATATGCGGTAAGGGTTTTACTCATTGTTGAAGGCCGTACGGTGACATAATGTTGCTTACTTCTACATCATTTCGTCTTTGGTGGAGAGTTGTCTCTTGGCAATTACACCACATCATCATATTTTTATATACATTTATATCAAACAGGCAATATGAAAACAACACAGAAATTAAAAATCGAAAAAGATGAACACCATTAAAATCGGTCGATTGACTTGATGAACCCAGATGTTCTGACCTGTGCATGCAGATTCTTTCGCACGCGGACCAATTTATAGAAATCACAGTTAATTCTGGTCATGTTCTGGTCATGTTATTTTTTCATTTTGAAAAATCGTACTGAAAGGGGAATGTCACGTTTAACAGTGTTAGACAAGTTAGAGGTTGCTTGAAAACATAACATAAACTAAGTCATATCTAGAGCTGTTGTCCCATGAATATAATCACAAATTATTTTTTTCATAACTTCTGTACGATTCATCCACTTAACAAGATAAATTGGTTCTAGCAGACAAAAAGACGCAACAGCATATATTTCCAAGACCTTTTTGAAAGTTAAGCGTTGACAGCATTATCGGATTATCGTATCGAAAGAAACATTTTATCAGTTCTACAGTTGACAAGGGTTGATATAGATCGAAACATAAGGTAGTACCACTGATACAGAACAGATTCAGTAGCTTCATATTTTGATAGTCAAGCTGATATCACTTCATATTAAAACACCTACAGTTCAGGGTGGTCTAGTATAATTACTTCACTTTGCAGTAGCTGATAGATGGATGGGAATTATATAAATTAGTTCAAGTGCTTTTTAATTTCCCATATTCTTGATTAAATACTTTTTATTCACACTTTATGTCTGTTAGCAAGAGAAAAGTACGAGAGTTAAGAAATTACAATAATCGTTTTTATTCTTTTGCATTCAATCTTCCGATTTATGTTGTGTAATTGTACATTTTGTGTAATTCGACTTCCTGCTCTTTTTCTATGTGTTTTATATTGATACAAATTCAATAATTTAAGAATATAACCAGTACTAACAAACTTCAAAGTTTTAAGTATTTAAGTATGCAAATTGTTGAATTAATTAATGTAAAGGAACCGAAAAAGAAAGAGCTAAATAGAACGAACAAGATTCGTATTTTGACCTATAATGGTTTACTTTTACAAATTGTGACCTGGATGGAGAGTTGTCTCATTGGCATTCATACCACATCTTCTTATATCTATTGTACATCTTTACAAAGCTCAAAGTGACCGTTTTAGCAAATAGCTTTTATACATGCAGCAATAATAAATACAAGTCAATCCCATCAATTAAAGCCCATAAGTGAACATATTTACACTAATATGAAAATAAGGAGGTGTGGTATGATTGCCAATGAGACAACCATCCACCAAAGTTCAAATGAAGTAGGTGTAATTAAACAATTATAGGCAACCGTACGGCCTTCAACAATAAAAAGAACCCATACCGTATAGTCGGCTATAAAAGTCTCCCGATATGAAAAATATGAAGCAAAAATAGTCGTTAAATGTTTGTAAGAAAATTTCTACACAGTCCAAAAATTAGTCATGTAAAAATAACGAATAGTTAGTATTTTATAATGTATATGGATCTTGGACAAATAATAATGGTAGTAAACTAGACTATTACTGCAGTATCAAAATGTCCAAAGTATCTGTAGTCCACGTGCTCTTATGCGGACGAAGAACATATGCATAGTTATGTAACGTAGTACGTGATGTAACATTTCCTGCAACCAGACGGCAGATGCAGACCCACGTGCAACTAATCAAACCTCACATGGGCGCCATAAACCACTTGTCTTTCATGAAATTAAAATATTCATGACAAAAAAATCGTTTAGCGTTGGTCTTCTCGTTTGTAACAATGTCAATATATTTCATTCTGTTTACATTTATAAGTTCCCACTATGGTGGTTAGAATCGTCAATTTCTGTAACCAAGAAGAAATTTTAAAGTATATGTTCCATGTTTCCATTTTTTATTTTTTTTATTTTTTAGTAGTAAAAAACATATATATAATTTCTGTTAAAATGTTCTATAAACAATATCTGCCAAGTGGTTGATCAAGAAATTACGCAAAAGAAACTTTTAAAGTACATATTTCCCAAGAATACATATTTCGTACAGTTGGAAAGCAGTAATTTTAATTTTAATTCTATTTTTTATTTATTGGGCGTTATTCTCGATCCTATGTTTTTCTATGGATTTTCAGTATTCTGTACTCGTCATAACTTTACATTACTCTGTTCATGAAATATGTTCAATTGACTAAACGAAAAGGACGCATTACATATGTACCTTTGGGCATGTTCAGCCTTATGTACAATGTTGCTTTGTCATGTGATATAATGTTGACCCCTACACAAGTCTTTTTTTTTGTACTGTTGTGTTGCTGTCAAATCGACATACACCCTACTTTTCTTTTTATCTATTTTTAAAATAAAATCTGCGTAAAACTGACCTAAAAGCGAAGAACACTATTCCTGAAACATAACTGATAATTCTATTATTATATCTTTTACTTACTCCAAGATGTAATTGGATATCCTGCATTTATCATGGTTTCCTTAACATAAAGTCAAAATGTTGAAAGACCTCCCTCCTAAATCATCGAAATCTATCATTTGCATTAACCATAATATATTGATGTAAATTTAATACACCAAATCGGGCTATGGGTGTATCTGATATTTACAGCAGTTATTGTAATAAAACTGAAAGGCATCTCTAATAAAGTAAACATATATAATTTATAATTTGTATATCTGTAGTCTAACAATTACAATGTGCGTCGACAATAGCAAAGTACAACAGTTTCTTACAACAAAATAATTCTGTACACAACTTTGAAAAAATCAGGAAAAATTGTCTTTTGCTGTTCTTTTTCGGTTTCTAAATTGCTGCCAGTTGTCCCTTTTTCTAACATAGCATCTGGTTGTTACATTGAGCACTTTTCATAATATGCAGGGTGGAGTGTTGATGACATTCCGTTTGAGCCATAGTAGACATATGGCTTTCGGTCACATGAAGTGGTCTGGTTATAAACTGGGTTCTGTAGTCTCATACCTGATAATAAAAGAAAGATTTAAGACATTTGGGTACTTTACTGTAGTGGTTTTCTTGTCAGTGATATATATTCGAATTCTTATTTGACCGAATCCCTCACTTCTCTTAAGTAAATGTTTATTTTTCGTTAAGAATACAATATACCATTCTCCAAGATATAAATTTTGATATCGTTTACTCTATGGGATTCGAAAATGCTGAGGCATAACGACAGCACCTCCTAGCTGTCCTACAGGTGTCTTAGGCACTCGGCAAATTAGTTTACATTGTATATAAAATACAGCGTCACATATATTATTGGGGAAAGCGACTATACGCTACGATAACGCAAGATCGGAAACGCTGAAACTGCGGCCATTGAATTTTGTTTCATTTAGATAGTACATATCACGTGATTAAAGCGATTAGAATGAAAAACAGATTTCGATTGAATTTGGGTTGTAGTTACCGTTAAAAGTTTTTTTTTCTTTATTTCTTTTTTTTTTTATTATTCAAAGTTTGCCAAAATCTTTCACACTTGTAGTGTTGAGCCAACTTAGGCATTTATAAAAATTACATGTTCAGAAATATTACGTCATAATGTTGTTAGAACCTCATCAGATACACACCGAAGCTGTGATACTCTGAAGATTAAAATAAAACTGAGAATGGACACGGGGAATGCGTCAAAGAGACAACAACCTGACCAAAGAACAGCCCAAGGCCACCAATGGGTCTTCAACACAGTTTCTCGCACACGGAGGCGGGCCTCAGCTGGCCCCTATAATCAATAATGTACTAGTTCAGCACAAAAGGACTTCACACTAAACTCCGAAACATATAAATGAACCAAAATTAAAAATTAAAAAGACTGTTATAAAATGGCCCTGGTGTGAAATAAATTCAGATAAAACTTGCCCTACCCTATTGAAACTGAAAGACAATATATAGCTTTACTTATACGATAACGTTTTGGAAAATTTTAAACTTGTCCTTTTCATTCATATTAGAGTTAAATACTCAACATTTGCTAAATCTATCAGTTGCAGTTGTAAGCCAACTTATTTAGTGGAAAGTAATACGCTCAAAGCTCGAATATGAAAAACACTTTAAATAGATCTTAATGAAGCAGAGCATCATGACACTGAGACTACGTTAAAGAATGTAATAGAACAGTGTTATATATATAGTAGTGTTTTCATTACATTACAGTAATTGTGTTGGATATTGCTGGTTTTTGATAATAAAAACAAACGTGGACGTTTGCTTATTTTTATTGAATAATAAACTCAATGAATTTAACACTTATGATTTAAACGAACATTGTTGGTTTTTAGTAAAGACTTTCGATAGATTGTACCGTTATTATATTCATTTAAATAGATTTGGGGTATACGTCAAGGAGACAGCAACCCACCCATAATAAAGTTTTTTTTGTAACCTCTTTTCAGTAAAATTATTTCCTATTTAAATTGTAGATGCTGCTACAGTTACATTTAAAAAGGCAATATTCGAATTCTGCAATGTTCGATTATATATGGTAATGCTAGAACAAAATATATACAATCTAAACATCTTTCAGTTTGAGCAAGGAGGTTACATGACCTCCTTGGTTTGAGCCACTCGTTTTCCTGAAAATTGGACAAATTCGTTCCTTTAATATTATAGATAATTTGGTCACATGTAAAGAAATGCGTATTTGTAGTGATGTACACACATGAAGCCGTGAACCGAAAATTTTAGGAAGATTGCAAGATTTTTTAATGGCCCTGGAGTAAAATATGTCCAAGGGAAATTAATGGCCCTTCCTCTTTTGAGGACTTACAAAGGTTCCAACCCCATAAGGCATGCGTAAAATGGTGTTTTAGCTAATTAACTTTGCAGTGTAAGGGCCGTATACAGTATGGTTATGTGGCTCCTACTAACTTTATTTGTCTAAATTTAAGTATGCGATTCATTGTTAACAAAAATTATTAATTTCAATCTCTTTTCCATCGCTTTAGGATATCTCTTTATAATAACCGGAAAATACGCAAGAAAATTTCATTTCACATTGTTCAAGGGTATACCTCATGTCCTGGTTCTATTGAAGAATTTGAAATATTCACATTCGTGCATACCATAATATTTTATGAATTTAGTTGTTTTTTCGTCATTGAAATAACACAATTTGTTGCTACGTCGAAAATTCTGTATTGAAAATATTGAAGCCATGCATTGCCAATAAATTAACAAGAACATTTTATGTAACTTGTTTGTAACAGACAAATGGAGAAAAATTGATAATTGTATTTCCGCGTCTTCCATCGTGAGATGGCCGAAAATTAAGCTGCGCGTGGCAGACCCTCCCCCATACCTCCGTTCTAATGATATATGGGGCATTAAATCATGTGCCCAATCAATACTAGTACTTTTAAATAATTTTGTTGACACTGTAGTATATTTCGAAAGTCGTATAACGTGTTAATATGGGGGTGGAGGACATTCCAAGACAAAAAAAAGAGTTCCAATGTCCCCCGCGTTGCACATATCTTATCTATCCAAGGTACAAGGGCAATAACTAAAAAAAAGCACTTTTTTTTCTTCTTTAAAACTTTTTATTAATATATTATAGAAATGAAGGCTTCAGAGCAAATGCAATGTGATTTCCATTATAATTAATATTTCCAAGGGGCATAACTCGTTAAAAATATTTGATCAGAACTTATTTTCGAAAGTGTCAAAGACATTGCTGATATAAACCTATGATATAAGTTTCATAAAAATCTGGCAAGAATTTAACACATGAGAGCTCTAACTATGCAATTTTCCACATAATCAATAATTCCAAGGAGCATAACTCTTTCAAAAATAATTGATCGGCACTGATTTTTGAACTCGCCAAAGACATTGATGATATAAACCTATAATTAAAATTTCATAAAAATCTGGCGATAATTGTACACGTGAGAGCGCTAACAAGACCGGACGGACGGACGCCAGATATTGCGCGGGGGACAACAAGTGAACAGCAGAAATATCGATAAAAAAATGCTTGACACTGAAAGCCGAAGATTTAATTGGAAAGACCATACATCATGTTTTTTGAATTGAATTACACAATTACAGGCGAATATATCGACAGAAAAGGCAAACTTAAAGACCGAAGATTTATTTACAAATTTTTAATAGTAATTTAAAAATATAAAATGACGAGTTACATTTGTTTACGAAAAAAGCATAGAGAGGTCCAAAAGGTATTCATACATTTTTAGTACTTGTGGGTTTTCGTTCGTCTGATATTCATATATGACACCGAATTGCCCATATTATCTCGTCTTTTTGGTAGAGAACAATGGACTCATGAATATAATCAAGTTTTGTGTCGTTTCCCGTTGCTTGTCCATGGCACAAAACATTTTTTATGTAAATTATCAAAAGACACAAGTTATTACGTGACGAATAAATTGTACAGTTTTTATCTTAGTAAGAGGCATATGGTACACATGCCATATGGTTCCTGAGTGTAAAAGTACATTCCAATACTTCCAGGAAAAATCAAGCACTCCTTGGTCAATCATCATACTTTGGCTTCATCCTAGTGTAATACACTAGAAATCATTTATTGGCAATAAAAAAGGAAACTTTATTGCTCCGTAAAATTAAATAACAACAAATGTATCAAAGTTATTCAGTGCAAAATAATTACTATCGTGAATGATAAGATATAAACTGTGAAGATGAGATGTCAAATGTATTATGTAAAATTAATTTAAATATAGTTTCCATGTGAATATAAAGATAGAACAAAGATTCTGGTTTTTGTTTACGATACACATCTCCCTCAATTCCTGACTTTTTTTCTATTTGTCATGTCTTTCAGGTTCAAGAAAGACCAGTATAACGCAAATTGTTGCAGTAAATCATAGCGATGCCAAATTGAAATTAACTACCCTGACTGATGTCATATGATAATTTAGTTGTTGTTTCAACACCCTAGAGGTCAGATTAGTAACGAAAAGATGATCTTTTCTTGGTGGTCTACATACTGCTGTGGATCTCCCGTCAGTTTTCGTGGTGCGTTTTGCGTCTAATATATTTTCTTCGTCAAAGACTCTAAAATTATATTGCTCGCTCTGCAAGTGCATTGCAGCTCTAAATGTCAAAGTTATAAGATAGTAAAACCGATTTAAAAGAAAGAAAAGCAATGAAAACAGAAGCTAACTTTGTGTATTATATTTTTATAGTCATCCACAATATTCCATCTCGGTGGTCCCTGTTTTGATACAAAAATTACTTTTTTGTAAATATTTTAATTGTAAAAAGAAAAGATGAAACAGCATATTTAATACATATATTCTTTTGAAATTTTCTTTTCCACTTTACTTATCAGATATATATTCCTATTAAAACAAAAGAAAGAATCACCATTAATCAGGATAATAAAGGTTTTACTGTTGTGATACTGCTTCATGTTGTTTTTTTTTTATCTTTTGATCCATATCCATGCTGTAAAAAGACTTGGCAAAAAACGAAAAAAACAAAAAAACAAAAAAACAAACACATTTTCAGAATCAACCAAAAAGCTGAAAAAGTCGTTTTAGTTCCATTTATTTATTTTTTAATCGAAACGGAAAAAATGTTGTATATCATATATGTTTTTCGTCTATTGTTTTGTACATAAATCAGGTCATTAGTTTTCTCGTTTGAACTGATTTATATTTTTCATTTCGGGGCCTTTTATAGCTGACTGTGCGGTATTGGTTTTGTTCTTTGTTGAATACCGTACGGTGACCTATATATATGCGTCACTTAGTCTCTGGTGGAGAGTTTTCTCGTTGGCAATCATACCACATCCTCTTATTTTCATATCGGTAGTTTTTTTTTTAAACAAGTGTGATACTGATGTTGTTTTTGCTATTTCTTTATTTTTCCTTGACTATCTATTGTTGCGCCACTATACCATTTAATTTGTCTTTTTAGGCTGTGCGACACAGATAATTGAAAAATAAAATATATACCCTTATAAATTCATCAATAAA